ATCTGGGCATGGTGGCACGTGCCTATAATTCCAGCTACTCAGGAGGCTGAGGCAGGAGAATTGCTTGAACCCAGGAGGTGGAGGTTGCGGTGAGCCTAGATCGTGCCATTGCACTCCAACCTGGGTAACAAGAGTGAAACTCCGTCTCAAAAAAAAAAAAAAAAAGAATATAAACCTGGTTATTTTCTGAAAACTTTCCATTGACACGTTCTAGTCAGACAGAGCAAACACAAGGCGAATGGGCACAGTAGTTTGAAAGAAAATCTGGGATTCAACAGAGAGGAACATTTTAGAAATGTTGCATTTCTCACTTTCAACACTTGATATCACAGACAGTATTTTGAGAAAAAAACACAGAAATCGATGTCTCTGAGTTGAAAAGTGATTCCAAAGAATTAGACTCTTGTCATGAAAAAGTCCTAGAAATACCTGAAATAGTATGTTTACAGATTTGTTTACATTTGACTTTATATCTATGGCACAATAATGAAATATGATTTTTAAAATATATCTAAATAAGTCTAATATTTTTTCAATAAATATAAAATAATTTGGTGATAAACATTGTGTCAGTTTAATTGGAAATTTTTATTGGTGATATAAAAAATGACATTTTAATCAGATGCAATGAAATATGATAGTAATATTCAATAGTAATCATTTACGATGTGCCAGGGACAGTGCAAAGTGATACGTTTAGATCTTTTCATTTCATCCTCACAACAATCCTATGAAATAGTTGCCATTATTTTCCTTTTTTAGTGAAAGCTCAAACTAGCAAGGAAAATTTATACCTTCCATATGTCCCATACAATTTTCATACTTTGCAATTTTTTTCTTGGAGAAAGGTCATCAGCCTCTTATTTAATAATTTCTCACCTTTAGGAATTTTAAGAACAAAATCTTTAGCATGGGCTTTTCATACCTGCTCCATATGTTATCCCAAGGGTGGTCGATATCTCTGTTCCCTGTAGACCTCAAGTTCTAGTTTCCTGTGTCTTGTGTTTAGAATGCTAAGTTTGGTTCTCTCTGTTAAGGTCAAAAGTTAGACACAGAAGGAGGAATCGTGGCTAAGAGGATTGGGACACTTAAAGTCTAATGGGTTAGACAAATACCTGAATGTGTCATATCATTCGTAACACATGCCAGGTGCTCGGCCTGTGTGTGTGCAGCAAGCTCTGACAAGGAAAAGACAACTTAGGACAAGCCCAAAGGAAAAGAGAGGGTGTTTTTTAAACTCCTTTAGCTTTATCATATACTATGGAAATTCCAGTAAGCATTCCTGGGCTGCAGCAAGCTACTTAGGAAGTGTTTGGTTATAACGCTTTCACATCTTGTATCACTTAGGCCACAAGAGCATGCAGTATTTGTTTAATCTTGGACTACCACTGATAGACTAGGTTATATAAAAGTCCTGAAAATGATTCAGTTGCAGCTTCCTGGAAAATGTACAAGAAACTCTGACACATAATGACAAAAGCATAGGCTCAAAACCACAGTTACGAAAAATATTTAGGACTGTGCCATGGAAAGATATTAGTAACACTTAAGAGTATCAGACCAGTAACATATTAGACAATAACATCTGCAGATTCAGTCCCTGAATTTGCACTGGGTAATTGTACTGGAGGAAGAGAAAAATAAAAAGAATGTAGTTCATCCTGGAACAAGCCCAGTTAAGGAGATTATAGACTTTGATTAAGAAATTATACCGTCAAGAGCCAGGACTGTAAGCACAACAAATTCCAGTAAATTCAATTCCATTTCACTCTTTATGACACTCATTCATAGTTTGAGAATATAGGTACTAAGGGGCCTCTTATCTTAAAAGGATCTCAGAACTGTAAATGTATCTGCTCCAACTCATGAATTAGGATGGAATAGACATTTTTCCTGATCTATAAATGTAAAACCCTAATGATATGAAAATCTGCTTGTGCAGAGGAGGCACAGGCATATGTGTCTTCCTGTAAGTCCTGTTGGCAAGAAGATATTCCTGGAAGAAAAAACAAACGTACAAAAAATCATTGTCATTTTTGACAGGACTTTTTTTAAAAAGTATGTCAAATAGTTAAGAATTTAGTTAATAGGAAGAGATTCCTTGCTAAGAAAAGTTTACACAGAAAAAGACACTAGCAATCATGACAATGAATTTTTTAAGTGTTCCTATTCTCATCTGCTGCCCAGGGATGTACACAGATAAAAAGATTTATTCTCAGTTCTGGAGATCTATGGTACAGCATGGTGACTATAGTTAAGAATAATGTATTACGTACTTGAAAACTGCTAAGAGAGTACATCTTAAATGTTCTCACCAAAAAAAAAAAAAAGGATAAGTATATGAGGTGATGGATATGTTAATTAGCTTGATTTAATCATTCCATAATGTTTACATATATTAAAACATCACATTGTATGTACTATAAATATATACAATTTTTTATTAATTTTTTTTCTTTTTACAGACAAGGTCTCGATCTGTCATTTAGGCTGGAATACAGTGGCATGATCATAGTTCACTGCAGCCTCTAACTCCCGGGCTAAAACGATCCTTCCACCTCAGCCTCCCGGGTAGTGGGGACCACAGAGGCATACTGCCATGCCTAGTTAATGTTATTTTATTTTTTGTAGAGACAAGGTCTTATGTTGCTCAGGCTGGTCTCGAACTCCTAGCCTCAAGTGATCCTCCTGCTTCGAGCTCCCAAAGTGCTGGGATTACAGGCATCAGCCACCATGCCCTGATATATGTACAATTTTTATTTGTCAACTATACTTTAATAAATTGGGGGAAAATCCCGAAAAGAGACATATGAAAAGAGATAATTCTTCACAGCCTTATTGTCTAAGGAAACAAACTTAAAGTTGCAAATAAACAAAAACAACAAACAAAAAAAGATGTATTCTCCCCTTCCCCATTATATGTACACACCCAGACAAGAAACCTGTTTCTAAATCCTTGTAGAAGTGGGAAGGGTGGGGAGAGAATAAAAGTCTTGATGGGAGGAGGTTTTGAAAATAGAGCCCTTCTTTAGATGTTACTCATGTAAATGTGCTGTGGTAAAAAAGAAAACTTGAGAACCACTGATTAAGTATCTGAACCCACAAGTCAGATACTCTGATAAGGTTAGTTTTAGAAACACAGTAACTACTAACCATGTTATGACAACCTTTTACTATGCAGAGATGGGACACTCCTTGGGGCATGATTTGAACCACTGTATCCTGTACCTGAGTTTAGGTATTAAAGATTCCTGTTAGGGCATGAGTCTTCTGTGTTCTGTTTTCCAGTATTACCAAGACAACCCTCATGACTGAACCACAGCTAACGCAGAGAACAGAAGCGCTTTATCAAGATGCATGTAAACTTCAGCTTTAGAACTGGTAGAATTACTGATATCCTTTTTTGCTTACGTATTGAAAGAAATGTCACTATTCTTAACAAGAACTGTTTGCTTGTGCTTCTAAAAATACATCCTACAATAAACTGTATTTTACTTTATCCCAGTAAAGCACCAGTTTTTAAGCCCCAAAAGACATTTACTGTAGACATTTTCTTTGCTTTCTTTAAGCATCAGGTAGCATGGGCATAAAATCTGAAGGGAAAGAAGCAAGAACCCAATAAATCAGTTTAAAAGGCAAGAGGATCCCTATTATTTTGCATTATCACTACTAATACTTTAGATATTTGACTATTAACACTCACTAGTATCAACGTAGTACAGTCAGAAATGCAGAATTTGGACAGAAGTACATAAAAGTCATCTTGTTATTCTCGCAAAGTTAAATGTCTCCACCTTCTCAGGGTTGCTAATGCTGTTTTCCCATGGCCTGCTGGAAAATACCACTATTTTCTTTGGGTTCTTTCCAGGTGCTTTATTGAGAGGGCAAGATAGAGGAAGAGAAGACTGTTGTAAATCACTTAATTATGGAAAGACCGGGAGTGCTGACTTCAATATGCTTTTGTTGGGTCTACATAAATTCTCATGAATATAATTGTGAAGGAGGAAGGATGATCAGAAAATGTAACATTGGTGATTTGCTGATTGTTCCAGCATAACAATTCTTAAATTTTTTTTTTCCTATAATCTTACCTTTATACCCTAAACCACTGTTTCTAAATTGTGTAAAGAAGGACCAATTTTTTAAAATTTCCAATCCATTGCAGACCAATGCCTTTGTAAAATCAGTAAAATTGAATTACTAGAAAAGTAAAATGTTTAAAGCCAAGAATACAAAATATAAGCCCAAAAAGTTTATATTCTTGATTTCAATAGATATAAAATATTCTACCAAATCACTATTCAAGTTTATAAATGCTTACTCTCAATGCCTGTACTTATCTTGCTGCAGGCAGTAACAAACTATCCCTAACTACAGTTTGACAATTAGTCACACATATATACACAAAGAACACGTACACATCACAGATGCACACACACACAGACATATCAAATAAAGTAGAGCTAAATTTCTATCCACTTAAAAAAATAGTTTAAATTTACATTATTACATTGCACAGTTTTTAAAAAACCTTCATACAAAAAAAAGCTGATGAGAAAACAGCAGTTTCCTCCCCAATCTCTCTCTATCTTCTAGTGCCCACCCAGAGAGGCAGCTATCTAATACTAAACCTGTCAGAAAAGCAATAGATGTCACTCACCTACTTTCCAACCTGACCTTCCTCTCAGAGCTCTCTTACGTCCTTCTCAATCCCAAATTGTTGTTTCTGAGACTGTTGCACAGATGTCCTCAGCATTCTTTTTGATCCCTTCTATACAAAGACTCCTTTTGAAATATGTTGTATTTTTGTTCAAAATATTTGCTATTCCTGCATTGGGGTGGATTCTACTTCTCCATCCCATTGATATGAGTCTTGGCCATGACTTGCGATGTCCACCTTATCTCTAAGGTCACGCAGAAGTGACCAGGTGATTTACATTAGCTAGTGATACATCAATTATCAATTCCAGGTGAAAGTTTAAAAGACAGACTTACCATGGCTGTCTTCTCCCTCTGTTGTAAGACTAGCAATGTTCCAGAAAGAGCATGCTCCATTATCCTGCATCCCATAAACCTATGACGTAAACCATGGAGAGTTTGGTGTCATTTGTTACTGCATCATAGCCTAAGCCAACAGATATATCCTTGTTCCTGGCTCTTTTTTGGATTACTGCCTCATTTGGTATTCTAGCAGCTTCCTGAGAAAGTATTCACAACAGGCAAAGACCTAGTTACCTGAAAACAACAGAATACCGGCTTTGGTATAATTTTCTCTCAGAATTAGTACTGATACATCATTTTCTAGCTTCAATGACACTAGGGCCAATCTCACTCTTAGTCCTTTGTATGTAACCCTCAATACATACCTACAAGGTTTCACGTGTGTGTGTGTGTGTGTGTGTGTGTGTGTGTGTTTTAAATAACTGTTATTCCGGATTCCAGAATTTCCTGGTCATGGGGCCTTTTCAAGAGATTCAAATATCTCTTTCAATCTTAATGTTCATGTGTTTCTAATCTAGGAAAGTATCTCCTAGCATTTTTCTCCTTAAGATCATCTTCTAGTCCTTTTTTAAAAAGATAATTTAGCTTTTTCAAAGTTATATATGTTCATAGTTTGAAGAGTCAACAGCCCTCTCACTGAATATTTACCCTTCCCCAGAGACAGCTGCTGTAAATTCTTTTAGCTGATTCTTTGGAATTGACTACCATATATCTATATAAAATGTTTTAATTGTGGCAATGTGATTATCACTGCTTTAGACATTATTTATTGACTTCATTACAGAAATAAGGGGTCTCCTCCTTCTCTGCATGCCCACCACATACGTACACATTTCACTGTGTATCACTATTTTAGTTAGATTAATAATCAGTATTTATACTGTTAGAATCTTGTATTTTAGTCAGATTTGAGCCAAATATAAACTATGACTACTTTTCTTCTACACAACTCTTTGTTTTTCTTGGAGTTAATAACTGTATTGCTCTTTTCATTTACTTAGTTTTCTAAGAATATATCACTAATGCAAAACTCTCTACCAGTTGTTCAAATCTCATCTCAGTACATTCAAACACATCAGATTTTCTGTTTGGTTGGTTAGATGGTTTGCTGACTTATCTCTTTGATGCAGCACGCTTTCTTGTAAGTGTAAGAGGTTTTATACTTTTCTTTTTTCTTTCTTTTTTTTTTAGACAGAGTCTCCCTCTGTCACACGGGCTGGAGTGCAGTGGCGCCATCTCAGCTCACTGCAATTTCCACCTCCTAGGTTCAAGTGATTCTCCTGCCTCAGCCTCCCAAGTAGCTGGTATTTTCCAGTCATATTTAAGAAGGCACTAAAATGACAGAGGAAAGCTCTGTGTACATCACAGAACTTGGATATATTTTAGTGAGCAATTTTTTAGCAGCCTATATCTTTTAATGTTTAGCTATATGTTCTGTAGGCTCCCCTTTGTACATTTTTCCTAGTTTCTGCTAACGAATGGAAAAATACAGCCTCTAATTCCTTCTGCAGGCACTTAGGTATCAGCTTCCTCTACTCTGCCAAGTCAGTTACCTTTCTTCCATCTACTTTTCATCTTGCAAACATATGTTGAGTTCTCTCAATTTCTATTATCTCTTTTCCTGCCCTTTTTGTCCTTAGAAGGTTGTATTACTATTTATTGCTGCTGTAACAAATTACCACAAACTTAATGGCTTAAAACAACACAAATTTATTATCTTACAGTTATGGAGGGCTGAAGTTCAAAGGTCTCGGTGAGCTAAAATCAAGGTGTCAGCAGGGCTGTATTCCTCCTGAAAATTCTAGGGGAGAATCTGTTTCTTTGACATTTCTAGCTCCTAGAGGTTGTCTGCATCCTTTGGCTCATGGCCTCATCTTCCTTCTTCAAAGCCAGCAGTGAAGCAAATCCCAACTCTTCTTCCTTCCTCTTTCCTTGTAAGGATCTTTCTAATCACATTGGGCCCACCCAAATACTACAGATTAATCTCCTCATCTCAAACTCCTTCACTTAATCAAACTGCAAAGTCCCTTCTGCCATGAGAGAAAATCTATTCATAGGTTCCAAGAATCAGGACATGGCATCCTAGGGGAGAGGGCATTATTCTACATACAGTTTTATACTTTTCTTTTCTTTTTTTGAAGGAGTCTCACTCTGTCACATAAGCTGGAGTGCAGTGGCACAATCTTGGCTCACTGCAACCTTTGCCTCTTGGGTTCAAGCAATTCTCCTGCCTTAGCTTCCCAAGTAGCTGGGATTACAGGTGCATGCCACCACGCCCCGCTAATTTTTGTATTTTCAGTAGAAATGGGGTTTCAGGATGTTGGCCAGGCTGGTCTCAAACTCTGGACCTCAGGTGATCTGCCCACCTCGGCCTCCCAAAGTGCTGGGATTATAGGTGCGAGAAAGGTTTTTTTTTTTGAGACGAGTTTCGCTCTTGTTACCCAGGCTGGAGTGCAATGGCGCGATCTCGGCTCACCGCAACCTCCACCTCCTGGGTTCAGGCAATTCTCCTGCCTCAGCCTCCTGAGTAGCTGGGATTACAGGCACGCGCCACCATACCCAGCTAATTTTTTGTATTTTTAGTAGAGACAGGGTTTCACCATGTTGACCAGGATGGTCTCGATCTCTTGACCTTGTGATTCACCCGCCTCGGCTTCCCAAAGTGCTGGGATTACAGGCTTGAGCCACCGCACCAAAAAGTTTTTTTTTTTTTAAAGAAATGAATATAACAAGAATATGAAATGTGCAGTTTACTTAGTAATCTGGTGCTACCTGTGGACTGGTAGAGAAGGATCACAGATGGGAATAGGAAGGCAACATTATATATGAACAAAAAGGCTAAACTTAGAACTGGAAGTTCTAAATTCAGACCCCAATTCTCAAACTTACCAGTTTGATCTTGTGGAAGTCAGTTAGGTAACTTGGCTCTATAGCTGAGGAACCTGAAACCCAAAGAAGTTATGTAAACTTAAATTAGTACATATATGTAGAGGATCCTAGGAAGACATCCATCACACAGTAGCTGAATGTCAGTTGTAGCTGAAGCAGACAGTGGCACTAATTAAAAACTTAGCATTTTGGCATTGGCAGTGATACCATAACATGAAAACCCAACAGCTAGAAGGCAGACTGAAAGAAAATCATCTTTTTCATGTCTAAAAAGGTAGGCTAGCCCAGCCACAAGAAAATTCCCCTTAATACCTAAATATAATTGCAGATATGCTATAGAAATATCACTTACATTCACTCGAATTTTTTTTTACCAAGTCCTGATGGAACATCCGAAAATTTTTTACCAAACTCCTCCAACATGCCAAACACCATGCTAGGTATTAAGGATATAGCAATGAATGAAGCTGACACAATCTCTGTCTTCACAGAGATTAATCTAGCAGGGAAATAGACAAATAACCAAACAATGACAAGTATGATAGGTGCTTTGATGGAAATAAAAACATGGAATCCATGGACCTAAACCAGACTAGGGTATTGATGTTGGCGAGTTATGTGTGGTTCTCAAGAGTTAATGATGCACTCTTCAGAGCTCAGCTAAAGAGCAAGAGCTACTGAAGCAAAAATGCAGGGGAAGGCAGAGTGTTCTGAAGAGTCCACTCCTTTGACTAGGAAGAGTGACAAGGTACCTTGGAGGCCAGTCAGCCTAAATCTTGTATTATGCATGAAATGGCAACAGGGCTGATACCAGAAGAACATGCTTGGTTAGGAAGGTGCTTTTAGAATGACAGAGTGATAAAGTCATAATTATTTTGCTTTCTTTTCTTCTTCTTCTTCTTTTTTTTTTTTTTTTTTTTGGAGACAGAGTCTCGCTGTGTCACCCAGACTGGACTGCAGTGGCGTGATCTCAGCTCACTGCAACCTCTGCCTCCCAGGTAAAGTGATCCTCCTGTCTCAGCCTCCCGAGTAGCTAGGATTACAGGCATACGCCACCATACACAGCTAATTTTCCTATTTTTAGTGGAGTATTTTTGCATTTTTAGCCCAACCTCGTGATCTGCCAGCCTCGGCCTCCCAAAGTCCTGGAACTGCAGGCATGAGCCAGTAGGCCAGGCCTATTTTGCTTTCTTTTCAAGGTAAAATTCCTCTCCCCTTTTCATTCTATAAGGACACAGTGTAACACAATGGTTGAGTTCAGGCTCTAAAACCTGTCAAAATGTGCCTGGGTTCACATTCTGATTCTTGACACTCACTAGCTGTAAGAACCACAGACACATGTCTTCTCTGGCTTTAGTTTACTCATCTGTAAAATGTTCCTAATATTAATATTTCCCCACTGGGTTGCTGTATTAAATTATGTAATACATCCAAAGGTGTTTAGAACAGTGCCAGCACAAAGTAAGCACTCAATAAATCTTTGCTTGCTACTGTTACTGGTTTTAGTTGCCAGCCACTGGCCTTTTTGCAATTTCTAAGATAATAAGAGACCACTTGACTTTGTTTACATGGCATTGCTTTCAGCTGCAGGGAAGATGGAGCATGCAGCAGTGCTAGTAACTTACCATTTGGCCCTTGAAATGCTAATTACAAGCCACCAGAATCTTGCTGATCAGTTCTCCACTTCTGACTCTGACATGGGAGACCAGAAAGCTTCAAAGTGGTCTTCGTCTCTTTCAGTTACAAGGAATCCAGACAGAGTGTAGCCACGTAGAAATCGGGCACCACAAGAAGACGATAACTCGGTGGAGCCACCATGACTCAGGCTGCAATACAGAAGCTCAATATTTATAGATGCACCTACAGATGATCAGTCTAAGAAAGGCCTGCTTATGCTAATCATGCAAAATTTCAATTGCATTCATTCAACAAATATTTGAGTGCCAGCTGTGTACCAAGCACTCTTCTAGATGTTAAGGATACAACAATGAAAAAAAAAAAAAAAAAGAAACAAAAGTCCCTGCCCTAGAGGGTGCAGACAATAAACACAATAAATAAGTTAATATATAGCACAGAGAAAGTGATAGGTGCTACAGAGAAAAATAAAGTACTAAAGGAAAATAGGGAGAGCCAAAAGAGCAAAGAGATGAGTTGCTGGGTGATCAATGGTCACTGTGGTAGTAAAGAAGGATCTCGGCCATGCCCCGTAGTTCACGCCTGTAATCCCAGCACTTTGGGAGCGGGTGAATCACGAGTTCAGGAATTTGAGACCAGCCCAGCCAATATGGCGAAACCCAATCTCTACTAAAAATACAAAAATTAGCTGGGCATGGTGGTGCATGACTATAGTTCCAGCTACTCGGGAGGCTGAGGCAGAAGAATCTCCTGAACCCAGGAGGCAGAGTTGCAGTGAGCCGTGATCGCGCCACTGCATTCCAGCCTGGGCAAAAGAATGAGACTCCATCTCAAAAAGAAAAAAAAAGAAAGAAAGAAAAAGAAAAGCCTCACAGAAATTGGCACATTTGAGCAAAGACCTGAGGAGTCGAGGAAGACATGGATATCTGGAAGGAGCATTCAGAGCAGAGGCAACAGCAAGGGCAAAGTTTCTTAGGAGAGAGTGTGTTCAAAGCATTTGAGAAACAGCAAGGAGGCTGCCAATGTGACTCAACAGAGAATGGTGGAGGAAATAACAGCAGGAAGTAAGACCAGAGAGGTAAGGAAGGTGTGCAGAGACTAACTGTAAAAATCTTGGCTTTTACTCTGAGTGAGATAGGGCACTTGTAGAAAGTTTTGAACAGTCTTGATATGATCTGCTCTATATTTTAAAGGTATCACTCTGGCTGCTGTGTTGAGACTAGAATGAATGCGAAAGGTAGCTAATATAAAATTCTAGTCAATGATGACAGTAGTTTGAACCAAGCTGCTGTCAGTGGAGGTGGGGAGAGTGGTCATATATTTTGTAGAGCCAGCAACAGGCTTTGATGACAAACTGAATGTGGGATAGAAAAGAATTGGTGAGTTGGCCTCAGCATTCGAACAATGGAGTTGCCAGTAACTGAGATAAAGAAGGTTGTAGGTAGATAAATTTTTTGAGGGGAAGGGGTATGCCAAAAACCCCAAGTTTTGTTTTGGATATGATGAAATGAAGAAGTCTATTAAATGTACAAGTAAAGATGCTGAGGTACTTGGAATTCAAGTTTGGAGTTAAGACTCGGGAGTTGTGAGCACATTTATATTTCAAGACATAAGATTGAATTAGAGCACTTTAGGAAAGCGGGTAGGAACAGAAGAAAAAAAGTCCAAGGCAAGGGCCTGGGATACTCCTATATAAAACGTCAGTGAGCAAGAGTTTGAGAACAGTGACCAGTAACGTAGGGCTAAAACCAGGAGACTGAAGTGTCCTATAAACTAAGTGGAGAAAGTGTTACAGGGAGGAGGAAGTAATCAACTATGCCAAATGCTAATAGGTCAAGGATGGAGACCGAGAACCGGCCACTGGATTAACTAACAAAGTAACAAAGTAATTGGAGAGCAATTTTAGTGGAATGCTGGGGGCAAGAGGTAATTGAAATAGTTTTAATAGAAAACAGGAGAAAAGGAATTGGGGCAGTGAATATAGAATTCTTTCAAGGATTTTACTGTAAAGGAGAATGAAAAAAAAAAATGGGACAATAGCTGGAAGGGGAAGTAAAAGCCAAAACTTTCTTTGTTTTGTTTTTCTGGTTTTTTAAATCAATTTTAGGATACAGTATATTAATTTGCATGGGGGAAATGTAACTGGTAAACGGATCAGGAATAGTTGTGAAAAGATTAGTGCTTTCTTTTCTTTCTATCTGGAAAGTCAAATTAAAATAACAGCTGTTGTGGTAGGCTCATGCCCATAATCAAAACACTTGGGAGGCAAAGGTGGGAGGACTGCTTGAGCCCAGGTGTTTAAGAAAAGCCTGGGCAACACAGGGAGACTCTCTCTATAGAAAATACATTTAAAAATATTAGCTGGGCACGATGGTGTGTGCCTGTCATCCCAGCTACTGGTATCACTCTGGCTGCTGTGTTGATCACACCAGTGCACTCCAGTCTGAGCAAGAGTGAGATTTTGTCTCAAAAATAATAAACAAATAAATAATAAAACCACAAGATTACGTAGGGAGCATTGATAACAGCTCCTTTCACATTGATTTCAACTGTGAAAAGTCTCAGCTTCCCTATCTTCTCAGCAGGGGAAGAATTTCTGAGTAGATCTGATGCTTGAATCAGCAGGGTGGGGTACACTCCCTTCACCAGTGCTGGAGAAACTGTTACCATTCATTCACACTTTCATTCAACAGACACTACTGAGCACCTACTATTAGATGACACTGACTAGGATACAAGTGCAACAAAACAAAACTTAGCGAGAGTTCATAGTTCACTAAAGAATATATGTAAGTATACCTGAAATGAGTAAGTATAGTTGTAAGAGTTAAGAGGTACATGAATATAAAAAAGACAAAAATGAATTAAGTGGTTATTCAGTAATGGGGACATTTGGGTCATTCACATTTTTTTGGCCATTATAACTAGACAGCTACTGAGAATTTCAACAAATTCCTCACCCAGAAGTATTTATTGATATCTATTATATTAAGACTATAGGAAATCTTACCAAATAAGAAAGAAACCCATAATATATCTCCCTCCGTGTTTTAACTGAAAGAATAATCAAGAAAATAAATTTTTTCTTTTTTCTTTTTCTTTTTTTTTTTTAGTAGAGACAGGGTTTCTCCATGTTGGTCAGGCTGGTCTTGAACTCCTGACCTCAGGTGATCCACCCATCTCAGCCTCCCAAAGTGCTGGGATTACAGGTGTGAGCCACCGCACCCAGCCAAGAAAATAAATCTTAACAGTGTAAAACAGCTGAGACTGAAGACAGGAACATTATAAGTTCATATATATACATATATATATATATATATATATATATATATATATATATATATAGCACTTATTATGCCAGGACAAGATTCCAAGTGTTTGAGATCCATCAGTGGGCAAAAACAAGAATACTGCTTTTTAGAACCTGTATTTTAGCAGGGGAAACAGTCAACAATAAACATAAAAAGTAGTAAAATAGAGTGTATGTTTGAAGGTAATAGGTCCCATAGAGAAAAAAGAATTAACAGGGCAAGGGGATTTCAGAAAATTGGGTTGTGTAGCAGGGTGGTTGAGGTGCAAGATGCAAGTTTAAGTAGTGTGGTTAAGGTCTCAGTGAGGTAACATGTTGGCAAAGATTTGAAGGAGGCAAGGGGATTGCCTCTCTGCATATTTGGAAAAAGCACTTTAAGCACTGGAAAAGCCCGAAGGTGCCAAGGAAGTGTGGCTGGTGCCCAGCAAGAAAAAAGTAGGGAAAGGTCTTAAGAAGCGATTGCAGTAATCCATGCAAGAGCTGAAGTTATTAGGCTCACTTGTAATCGTAGTATGTAGTCAGTTTGGGGATATATTAATATTTTAAAGGTACAGTCAATAAAATTTCCTGATAGATGTGGAGAAAGGAAGACACTAATATCATGCCAAGACTTTTTTTTTTTTTTTTTTTTTTTTTTTTTTTTTTTTTTGAGATGGAGTTTCGCTCTTGTTACCCAGGCTGGAGTGTAATGGCACGATTTTGGCTCACCGCAACCTCCGCCTCCTGAGTTCAGGCAATTCTCCTGCCTCAGCCTCCCGAGTAGCTAGGACTAACAGGCGCGTGCCACCATGCCCAGCTAATTTTTGTATTTTTAGTAGAGACGGGGTTTCACCTTGTTGACCAGGATGGTCTCGATCTCTTGACCTTGTGATCCACCCGCCTCAGCCTCCCAAAGTGCTGGGATTATAGGCGTGAGCCACGGCGCCGGCCTATCATGCCAAGATTTTAACCTTGGCAATTAAGATGCAAAGGGCTGGCCGGGCGCGATGGCTCAAGCCTGTAATCCCAGCACTTTGGGAGGCCGAGGCGGGTGGATCACGAGGTCGAGAGATCGAGACCATCCTGGTCAACATGGTGAAACCCCGTCTCTACTAAAAATACAAAACATTAGCTGGGCATGGTGATGCGTGCCTGTAATCCCAGCTACTCAGGAGGCTGAGGCAGGAGAATTGCCTGAACCCAGGAGGCAGAGGTTGCGCTGAGCCTAGATCGTGCCATTGCACTCCAGCCTGGGTAACAAGAGCGAAACTCCATCTCAAAAAAAAAAAAAAAAAAAAAGATGCAAAGGGCTACAGGTGCGGACATGAGGGAGACAATCAGGTCCCTGTGGACACACTGAGTTTGAGATGTCTAGTAGACATCTATGACACCTCAGATCCTTTTGGCCTCACTCACCTGTAGGGCCTGTGGCCTTTTATTCTGCCCCCATTGCCACTGGCCAACCAAACTTAGGCAGAAACTACCTGACAGCATTTTGCCTCCTGCTTAAGTCACACGTCACATGAGTGTCTGCTTGGTGCCCCCATAAAATTAAAGAGAGAGAGAGAGAGAGAGAGAGAGAGAGAGAGAGAGAGAGAGAGCGCGTCTGTGTGTTGAGGCAGGAGACAGTAGTGTTGGCAACCCTTTGACTGAATCTTGACCTCCTGCCCCGATTCACTGCTTTTCCCTACCCTCGTTTCCTTGGAATTATAATCCCTAATAAAATAATAGCACAGAAGCTTTTGCCTCAGGTTGTGCTTTCTGGGAGAACAGAGGCTAAGACAACATCCAAATGGAGACAAGAATACACAGCATTGTAAACGAGTATGGAGTTTGGGAAAGTGATTTGGGGAGAAGATATAATTTTGAGAGTTGTCAACCTGGACATAATAGTTATGATCAGGAGAGTGCATGATGGCACAAAAGAGTGAGCAGAGAAATGTCAGAAACTAAAGAGGTTGAAAATGTTAGAACATTTGTGAGGAAAGACAATCTGTTTTGTTCATAATTTCCCCAGTCTGCAGAAGAATCCCTGGCACAAAGTAGGTGCTCTGCAGATATTTTTAGAATAAATGAAATAGTCACCATGGTCTTGGGGTTAGGTAGAAAAGCAAATCACAGGAAGTGATGAACTAGGGTAGGCAGGGTTCATGGAACTTGAGTTAACAGTGAGAGCAAAAATTATATTCAACAGCAGAAACAAGAGCAAAAAATAACAGGAAAAGGAAGTTGTGATTATAGAAAAGCTCTCAAATACCACTTTATCTTTGAAGCCTTTTGTAATCAACTTATGGAATCTTTTCCCTATTCTGGACCTCTTTCAAGATACTTTTCTTATACTCTACCTAGTTACATCCATGTGAGCTCCTCTACTTTCATCTCCCTGATACTGACAATATTTTGCAATTGGAAAACTGAGTCAAAAATGGGGGTCACCTGTAGTCTCAGCTACTCAGGAGGCTGAGGGCAAGAAAGTTGCTTGAGCCCAGGAGTGCAAGGCTGTCACACACAATGTCTGCCACTGTGCACAGCCACTGCACCTGAGCAACACAGTGAGAGCCTAATCACAAAAAAAAAAAAAAATTTCTTACAATGGAGGTGGCTTCCAAATCCCAGAGACAAAACTTGGATGCTGAAAGTAGAAATGTCAGAAAGTAGAGAGGCTGAAAATGCTAGAGTATACCCAAGAGAGATATGTCAAAGTAGAGAGGTTGAAAATCTGGAGTATACCCAAAATGTTAGTCGTAAAATAACTTGCATTGGAATGAACGAATAAAGTTAGGTGGAAAGAAAGGCCATTAGAGCAGAAGTCAAGAAGAATTCATGTTTTAATAACTGTTTGAGGCCCACTGGTCTGACAGTAAGGCCCAAGTGAATATTGGAAGCTGGCCTTCCACTTAGGAAGTTAGCAAAATAATAGGGTCTGAATGAAAGTTAGTGTGTATAAAAAGGAAGAATGAATACGAGGACATTTTAAAATAAAAACTCACTGGCTGGGTGTATTGGCTCAAGCCTGTAATCCCAGCTCTTTGGGAGGCCAAGACGGGTGGATCACAAGGTCAGGAGTTCGAGATCAGCCTGGCCAATATGATGAAACCCTGTCTCTACTAAAAATACAAAAAAGTTGGGCGTGGTGGCATGCGCCTGTAATCCCAGTTACTTGGGAGGCCAAGGCAGAATTGCTTGTACCTGGGAGCAGAGGTTGCAGTGAGCTGAGATCACGCCACTGTACTCCTGCCTGGGCAACAGAGCAAAACTCCATCTCTAAATAAATAAACGAATCAGTAAAATTAAATAAAAACTCACCATATTTGTGGGTGATAACTATAGGTTATGAGTAAATAATTCCAAAGTTTTGGTATCATGTATATTGCCATGGTAAAAGTGCAGAAAGATGAACTCAATTTGGAAAACGTATTTGACACAAGACTAAGATATCCAAGTAAAAGCTAGTAATAGGTAACATTTTTCTTAACATTGTTCCGAGTACAAACACTCTTCCAAGTATACTTCACATGTCATGTAATCATTACAATAACACTATGAGGTAGGTGCTATTATCACCTTTATTTTACAAATGGGAAAACTGAGGCACAAGAGTGAATGATTTGCCCAAAGTCATTAGCTAGTAAGTGGCTGAGTCAGTGCAATAAATTCACCAGTGCCCCCACCTCCTGCAAATTCATATTTTTAAATCTTCACCCTAAATGTCATGGTATTAGGCAGTGAGGTCTTTGGGAGGTAAACCCCTTGCGAATGGGATTAGTGCCTTACAAAAGGAAACCCTGAGCGCTCTTGCTCTCTTTCTGCATTGTAAGACAAAGATAAAACACAGCCATCTACAACCCTGAAGAGGGCCTTCACCAGAACCTGACCATGTTGGCAGTCTGATTTCAGACATCCAGCCTCCAGAGCTATGAGAAATAAATTTCTATTGTTTATAAGCCATCGAGTCTATATAGCACTTTATTACAGCAACCTGAACTCACTGAGAGCCAGGATTTGAACTCAAATGTTAAGAAACTTTGCCCAGGATGACTCAGAAATTCGCTATGTATTTGATAAATATTTAACAAGTACCACCCTATTCCAGACATTGTGTTGTTGCTAGGGATGGGAAAGGAGGGGAAAAGCTGGTAGTGAACAAGACAAGTGTGGTCCCTGCCTGCACAGTTACATGGACACTAAACAAATAACAAGTATGATGAATTGGAAAAGAAAGTGATAAATTACAGTTAGGTAGGAGAAATGGGTGAGAGAAAAAAACTCTATAGGAAGGAAGGGCATGTGTAAATGCCCTGAAGTGAGAGCCTATGATAGGGAATAAAAAGAGGAGAGCCTGGAAAAAATTAAAATACTATGGCAGGAGTGCAGGCAACTAGGGGGACAGATGGAGAGAAAGAGAAGTCCAGATAATGGAGCTTAGACAATGTGTGGTAAGCAAGGGGAGGCCACCGAGGAATTTAAGCAGGTCAATGACTTGATCAGATTTATACTGAAAATATTACTCTGGCAGCAGTATGGCAAATGCATTGGAATGAGGCAAGAGCAGTTTTGGAGGACCTGAATGGGTTATTGCAGGACTTCAAGCAAGAGGTGACAGTGGTTTACACCAGAATGGGAATGAAAAAAAAGTCATGGGAACAGAGAGGTCACAAATCCAATTTTCCAGGTAGCAGACAGATGTAGATGATTCTGCCGTGTGTTGAAGGTGTGCTAGGTGTCTGGCATGAACTGAGTAGATGTTAAGATACCCTTAACTGAACCAGGGACTATGGGAGGAGCACTTTGAAGAGATTATGATATACTGGTTGAGTCTGAAATGCCTTAAGTCATCCAATGAAAAGTATACCAAAAGCAATGTGTTGGAAATATAAATGTAGGGTTCCAGAGCAAGATCTAAGCTTGAGTTATGGATTGAAGAATCTTTTGACAGAGGGTAGTTGATGCCCCTGGAAGAGCATAAGACCACCTAGGAAAGTGTACATGGGGAGACTCAGAAAGAGGGCCAGAGTTTAGCTCAGCATGATTCCAATGTATAAGAGGGTAGATACAGAAGGAACTGGTTGTTAAAGAGCAAACACTGGTAGGGAGGAAATCTGTGACACAGACAAGAGGGAAGAGTATATTTGGAGAGTGTGCTCAATCGTGTCAAATACTGGGATTGAGGGCTTGTAAAATGAGAACTGAAAACGATCCGCTTCATTTACAGACATGAAGTTTGTCTGTGACAATTCAAAGCCACTTCAGGTGAGCGGTGGGGACACTGAAGTGGGCTGGGGAGTGGGATGTGAGAGAGACTGTCCATGGGGCAAGAGACACCTGGAGTTGTTGGAGAGCAATTTAGGGAGAAATCTTTTTAAAGAATTGAAAGACTTAAGCATGTGTAAATACTAGTAAGAAACAGCCGGTAGAGAAGGAAAGGAAACTCGTTAACGCAAAGTCCATGAGAAAACAGTAGGGGACCTAGAGCACCAAGAACAACTCTTTCATTATAAAAGAAGTGAGGCGGGGATGGAGTCCGGATTTGAACCCTCTCTGCTTCCTAAAGACGCATCTGCTTTAGAAAAAGAATGATTAAGACTTGAGGCAGGGAGAGGTGGCTCACGCCTGTAATCCCAGCAGTTTGGGCGGCCGAGTCGGGCGGATCCCCTGAGGTCAGAAGTTCTAGACCAGCCTGGCCAACATGGTGAAACCCTGTCTCCACTAAAAATACAAAAATTTGCCGAGCGTGGTGGCGGGAGCCTGTAATCCCAGCTACTTGGGAGTCTCCTCCCTCCTACTTGAGGCAGGAGAATCGCTTGAACCCGGGAGGCGGAGGTTGCAGTGAGCCGAGATAGTAACAAGATTGAGTCTCCGTCTTTCAAAAAAAAAGGACTTTAAAGCCCAGGGACAGAGAGAGGGCTGCAGAGTTCACTACCAAGGAGAATGGGGACCTAGGGGTGTGGCCTGGGCAACCTCTAAGAGAGCGGTTCAGTAGTTTCCAGCCACGGAAGCTCCCCTGCTGGGTTCACAGTGCAGAGGGTGCGAATCCCTGCTGTAGAGAACAGGCCGAGGAAAGAAAGCGACACAGGATGTTGTCTGGAGAAAGGCGGGGAGGTGGGATGGGGCATATTTCCAGTGGTCCGGGCGGGTAGTGGCTTGGAGGCCTCCTAGAGCCGTCGACGTCACCCACGGCCCGGGCAGACCCCGCGGTGCCAGAGTATCCGAGCCAACGTCCGGGAAGGCATGTCCGGCCGGCGGCCGCCAGGTTTCTCCGCGGAGTCTCGGAAAGGAAAACCCGTCCCCACTGAGTCCCACGACGTCCCCGAGCCCCAGGCCCCAGGCCCCGGGACGCTGGCAGAGGCGCAGCAGCCCTTCCTCCCCAGCCTACACGGCTCCCGCGGGCCGGCCGCGTTCCAGCCGGAGCGGCGCTGCGCCCGCGTGCTGGCGGCGTCGGAAAGTTCCCGGGGCTGGAGGCGCTGAAGGGCAGAGCCCGGCAGCCGCAGCAGCCCTCGAGCCCGCCGCTCACCGCCGCAGGGGTAGGCCTGCGCGGGGGTTTCCACCAAGTCGCTAACACCCCTCGGGAATTCCCCACTGGGCCACACACAAACCCCGTTTCCTCCTTCAAATTTCCGCCGCCGGCTTTATCGATCCTAACGCGGCGGAGGGGTTTAGACCACCCCTCCCGGCGCTGGGCTCAGCCCGCCTTCGCCTTCCTCTACCGGCGCAACCTCTTCGCCTCGTCCGAAGAAGCCCGAAGGCCTTCGGCAAGTTCCGTCCCCAGCGCGGGGGCGGGGCCGCTCGAGCTCCTCCGGGCCGAGCTCGGCTGTTTCCGTGCGCGGCCGCTGCGCACTCGGCACTGGGCGGCGCTGGCTGGCTCCCTGGCTGCGGCTCCTCAGTCGGCGGCGGCTGCTGCTGCCTGTGGCCCGGGCGGCTGGGAGAAGCGGAGTGTTGGTGAGTGACGCGGCGGAGGTGTAGTTTGACGCGGTGTGTTACGTGGGGGAGAGAATAAAACTCCAGCGAGATCCGGGCCGTGAACGAAAGCAGTGACGGAGGAGCTTGTACCACCGGTAAGAGGAGCAGGAGGAGGAGGCAGGAGCCAGAGAGAGCCGGGGGGACGGAGGGGGGACGGGGAGGCGCCGGACACCCGCGCTTGGGGCCTTCCCCTCGCAGGAGGGGCCGCGGTAAAGATGGAGCCTCCGCCCGAGCCCCACAACATCGCCGCCGCTCGCAGCGAACAAAGAATAATGGCGGCGGACTGGAGCCAGCGGCGGCCGGGGCGGCAGCGACTCTGCCTGCAGCCAGCGGCGGCGCTCATGGCGGGGGGCGGCGGGCGGCGGGCGGCGGGCGGGGTGGGAGCCGGCGGCCGGGGGTGTGTGCGGGCGGCCGGCCGCGGCGAGCTGGCGCCCGCGTTCCCGCCGCCGCCGCCGGGCCGGGCGCGGAGCCGGGAGCCGGGAGCCGGGAGCCGGGAGCCGGGAGTCGCCCCGGGGGAGGCCGCCCGCTAGTCCCTGCGTTGCCCCCTGCGCAGCCCGTTCGTCCGGCCCCCGCCGCCCGCCTCGCCCCCGACCCGACCCGACCCGATCCGACCCGGCCCGGCCTCCGGGGCAGCCGCCGCCTGGGTGCCGGTGGGGGGTGGAGGAGGAAGAAGGCGACAGTTGAGGGCAGAGGAGGTGAAGGTGCCTGCTGCCTTCCCGGTGGCCTCGCTGTCTGCCATGCTCGCTTCGCAAGGGGAAGAGCTGCAACGTCTGACCTACTCTTCTCTCCACTTTTTGTGCAATAAAGTTCGAAACCCAAGGTTTCCTCTCGTGCTGTATTTTATTCATGCCCTTTCCCTCCCGCTCCCACACCGTTGAGGAAATGCTGCTTTCTGCCCTGTGTTGCTTAGTTGAGAGATGAGGGCTTGTGCCTGGGGGGAGTTTATGACTCCCTCACCCCCTTGCCTTTTTTTGTTGTTTGTTTGTTTTAATCCGGTAGTCATGGAAATGCATGCTTTTTGGGAGAAGGGGTGCTTAAAAAAAAACATATTTGTAGTAACTTTAAAAAACTGTTGGGATCTTATAAAAGGGAAGCTGGTGTTTGAAAACAGTTTCGGTTTTAACCCTTTTCAATAAGGTGATTATCACTTCTGAAACACTTCGTTGAAACGAGTATCAGCGGACGTACTCTTGTTTTACATCATTTCGCGGGGTGCCACCTTGCCAACCGCGTTTTGGGTCATCTGGCTCTCCCTACACCCTCCTTCCCACCCCCCACCATCTCTCCCACGAATTTCTGTGTGAACTTTAATGAGAGACTGATATAATACTAATTCTAAAAATAGACTTTAAAGTATCCATTATTTGTCTCTCATGCAGTAGGTAACTCGGGTCTTGAGATTGAGAATTTAAGCCACAAGCTGTATTTTTTTTCTTTGCCTGTTGGGAAAAGAGGACAGCAGAAAAGTCATTGACACATTAAAAATTAAAAGACAATTTTTAAAGGACATGTGGTATGACCTATTTAAGTTCGTAATGCCATCTCAAGTTATAATTCTAACCTCGGCTTACGTCTGCCTTCTGAAGGTTTAGTGGAAGATACTTTTGATTGCTGCCTATTGCAATCTTTTATATTTATGGCTCGTTTCCTGATTTAAAAGTAAAGCCCCGAGCAGTTATTTTAGGTGGTGCAAAGACGAACAAGTTTGTTTTAAAAGTATTTGCCTGTCATTGTATGGTTGCATTGTGATTGATACATACAAGGCTTCTGGTTGGGAACAAATATTGATTGGCAGTAGAAGCACTGTCTTATTTTTCTGTATGCAAGTCACTTTTCCAAAACCTGCTTTGCTGTATTGCTTCTTTTTAAAAAAAGACCACATTATCAATTTGTCATTGCCAAGAAAATTAAGAAGATACAATAAAGAGAGGTTCTCTATAAAGATTGGGAAAATGATTTTACTTCCAATCGCTGAAAAAGTTACTACAGTATTGATAATGGTAGATTACTATTTTTCCTTAATGATGTTCCGCAAGCCACCATCAGTTGAGTAGAATTTTTTTTCTTGTTAAGAATATACACCAGAGGCCGGGCACAGTGGCTCATGCCTGTCTGTAATCCCAGCACTTTAGGAGGCCAAGGCGGGCAGATTACTTAAGATAAGGAGTTCGAGACCAGCCTGACCAACATGGGGAAACCCCCTCTCTACTAAAAATACAAAATTAGCCGGGTGTGGTGTCGCATGCCTGTAATCCCAGCTACTCGTGAGACTGGGGTAGGAAAATCGCTTGAACCCGGGAGACAGAGGTGGGGGTGAGCCAAAATCACACCATTGCACTCCAGCCTGGGCAACAAGAGCGAAACTCCGTCTCAAAAATAATAATAATATACGCCGGGCGTGGCGACTCACACCTGTAATCCCAGTATTTTGGGAGGCCGAGGTGGGCGGATCACTTGAGGTCGGGAGTTCGAGACCAGACTGGCCAACATGGTGAACCTAGTCTCTACTTAAAAAAAAAAAAAAAAAAAAAAAAAAAAAAAAAAAAAAATTAGCTGGGTGTGGTGGCTCGCGCCTGTGATCCCAGCTACTCGGGAAGCTGAGGCAGAATTGCTTGAAGCCAGGAGGCAGGGGTTGTAGTGAGCCAAGATCATTCCACTGCACTTCAGCCTGGGCGACCGAGCGGGACTCCATTTAAAAAAATATATATATATATATATTGTTTACTGATTTTTTTTTTTTTTTTTTTTTTTAAAGGCAGGGTTTCACCATGTTGGTCAGGCTGGTCTTGAACTCCCGACCTCAGGTGATCTGCGCACTTTAGCCTCCAAAGTGCTTGGATTACAGGCGTGAGCCACCACGCCCGGCCGATATGTTCTTTCTTTAGTCTTACCCGAGATATTTTTATTTATTTATTTATTTGTTCGAGATGGAGTTTCGCTCTTGTTGCCCAGGATGGAGTGCATTGCCGCTGTCGCGACTCACTGCAAGCTCTGCCTCCCAGGTTTAAGCGAATCTCCGGCCTCCGCCTCCGGAGTAGCTGGGATTACAGACGCTATCTCAAAATTTATATATATGTATATATATATATGTATATATACACGCACACACATATAGGACTCTTCATTTGCGAGATTTTTAAAAAATTGTTTACTAATGGCTGGGCACGGTGGCTCATCCCTGTAATCCCAGTACTTTGGGAAGCCGAGGCAGGCGGATCACGAGGTCAATAGATGGAGACCATCCTGGCCAACATGGTGAAACCCCGTCTCTACTAAAAATACAAAATTTAGCAGGTCTGGTCGCACATGCCTATAATCCCAGCTACTCTGGAGGCTGAGGCAGGATAATCGCTTGAACCACAGGAGGCAGAGGTTGCAGTGAGCCGAGATCGCGCCACTGCACTCCAGCCTTGGCAACAAGAGCGAGATTCCGTCTCAAAACAAACACAACAAAAAACTGTTAACTGATGTGCTCTTTCTTTAGTCTTGCCCAAGAGATAGTTTATTTGAGACGGAGTTTCGGAGTTTAGCTCTTGTTGCCCAGAATGCAGTGCAGTGGCGCTGTCGCAACTCGCTGTAAGCTCTGCCTCCCGGGTTTAAGCGAATCTCCGGCTTCAGCCTCCCGAGTAACTGGTATTACAGCCTCCGTCTCAAAATTTTATATATACGTATGTGTGTGTATATACATATGCACACACTCGCGCACACACACACACACACACACACCCCTCTTCATTTGTGAGTTTTTTAAAAATTATTTACTGATGGCCAGGCGCTGCGGCTCATTCCTGTAATCCCAGTACTTTGGGAAGCCAAGGCGGACCGATCATGAGGTCAGTAGATCGAAACCATCCTGGCCAACATAGTAAAACCCTGTCTCTACTAAAAATACAAAAATTAGCGGGTCTGGTGGTGCGTACCTATAATCCCAGCTACTTGGGAGGCTGAGGCAGGAGAATCGCTTGAACCCGGGAGGCGGAAGTTGCAGAGAGCCGAAATCGCGCCACTGCACTCCAGCCTGGTGACAGAGCGAGACTGCGTCTCAAAAAAAAAAAAAAAAAAAAAAATCCGAAAATTGTTTACTGATATGTTCTTTAGTTATGCCCAAGAGATTATTTATTTATTTATTTATTTGAGATGGAGTTTGGCTCTCGTTGCCCAGGATGGAGTGCAGTGAGTGGCGCGGTGGCGGCTCACTACAAGCTCCACTTCCTGGGTTTAAGCAAATCTCCGGCCTCAGCCCAAAGTAGCTGGAATTACTCCATCTCAAAATTAAAATAAATAAATACATATATATATCTTCATTTGTTAGGTTTTTTTAAAATTGTTTACTGATGGCCGGACATGATGGCTCCCGCATGTAATTCCAATACGTTGGGAAACCGAGGCGGGACGATCGTGAGGTCAATCAATCGAGACCATCCTGGCCAACATGGTGAAACCCCATCTCTATTAAAAATACAAAAATTATCAGATCTGGTGGCACATGCCTATAATTCCAGCTACTCAGGAGACCAAGGCAGGAGAATCGCTTGAAACCGGGTGGCAGTGGTTGCTTTGAGCCGAGATCACATCACTGCACTCCAGCCTGGCGACAGAGTGAGACTCCGTCTCAAAAAAATAAAAAAAAATTTACTGATAGGTTCCTTCATTAGTCTTCCCCAAGAGTTAGTTATTTATTTATGACCGAGTGTGGTTCCTGTTGCCGAGGATGGAGTGCTGTGGCGGAGTTGCGACTTACTGCAAGCTCCGCCTCC